TAAGTTGGCATTTGGGAGAGCACTTCTGTGAATGACAAATTCATACTAACCTGTTTCAGCATATCCAGAAATCTCTCAAATTGCTTGTCCAGCTTTTCTCTATATAGCTTTTAAGAAAAAGGTAGAGCAGGCATATGCTCGCTCTCATTAGATTCATCCCTTCTCGAAGTTTTCTCCTTCTTCTTTTTGGCAGCTCTCTTCTTGCCTTTCTTCTTCTTGTCAATATCATTCTTCAGTTTCTCCTTACTTTCCTTTTCAAGTACCACCTCTTTTTGGATTGGAGGGGTATCTTTCAACACTTTTCCACTTCTTAAGGTCACATCATTCACTGTTTCTTTTGGATTTCTCTCAGTATCAGCTGGCAGAGTAACTAGGACTCTCTCAGATAATATTGTCACAATATGTCCAATTTGTCTCTCCAAGTTTCGAAAACCAGTGCCCAATTCTTTGATAGCTGTCTCGTGAGCATACAACCTCTCATATGTCTTGATAATGAAGGCCTCCATTAGATCTTCTAGACCAGGCTGATTGGACTGCTGAGGCTGAAACTACTGCCTCTGCTAATTTTGGAAGACTGGAACTAATTGTCCCCGAGGTCTAGAGTTATTTTATTGCCACGCATTTGCAGTACCTCCAAGTGAACTCCATGAAAAATCGGGGTGCCTCTGACCCATTGCATTGTAATTTCCCACAGCATTCACTTCCTCAGTTCAGACTAGAAATGCATGAGTAGGATGTCCTCTTCTACATATATCACAAGCTGCATAAGGCTCACTTTGTATTGTAGCTAAGGTCAACTTCCGTATTTCTTTAGCCATAGCATCAAGTTGTACCTGCACAGATGTGTTAGCATCAACCTGGTGAATACCTATCGATCTTCTTCTTTCAGCACTCTCAGAAGGCCACTGATTTGCATCTTCAGACAACTCATCAAGAATTGTGACTATCTCCTCTGGGGTCTTCATCATCAAAGGGCCTCCAACTGCATTGCTCAATGTTCAATCCATCCCAAAAGTCCTGGAGGTGCATCCAGAGTTCAATTCCACTATGTTGACACTTTCTGACTGTTTCCTTAAACCTCTCCCAAGTTTCAAACACAGTCTCAGTATCTTTCTGGTGGAAGTTATGGATTTCTCTTCTATACTTACCCGTCTTAGCTGATGAGAAATATTTATCAAAAACTTTTCTGGTCATCTCATCCCATGTTTGAATCGATCCATTAGGTAAGCTTCGAAGCCACTGCTTTGCATCATCTTTGAGTGTGAAGGGGAATGACCTTAAGTAAACTGCATCTTGTGACACACCATTGTATTGAAAGGTGTTCATAATCTCCTCGAAGTCCATTAGATGGTTGTTTATAACAGTTTTGAAGGGTTTGGAGCAACCCTTGCTTCAACTAAAAATTATTAGCTATAATTGGAGGTGGTCTAACACTTGATAAACCTTGATTGTATACTAGTCTAGAATAATCGCCAAGTGGTCTCCCAGGCAAGGGTTGATGTTGATTAAGTCTGAGACCTCTCTCTTCTTCATAGATGTTCTGTGCATCTCTAATAGTTGCTTCCTCAGCATCCCGTGCAGCTTGTTCTCTTCGTTAGGCTACTTCTCTCGCAGCCAAATCTACATTATTTTCACTGTTTCCAGCCACAAGTTCTTTAGTTGAGGATTGCCCAACCTTTTCTGATGTCTCGGTGAGACTTCTTTCCTTCCTCAGCTGTCGTAACTGCTTTTCTATCTCGGGTTCGTATGGTAGCACTTCCTTCGTAGAAGTTCTCATCATGCACCACTCTGAACCTGTAAGCTGCGCACAGTCAAAGAACACCAAACGTAAAAAGGAAAAATAAAATAAAAAGAAAAATTCCCGAATTAGCACAAGTAGCTATTTCAAACAGTATTGATTGCCAATCTCCGGCAAGGACGCCAAAAGTTGACGAGCGCAAAACGCCACTTTAATTTATGCTCGCTAGTCAAAGATAGTATAGTATCATATCGTATCCACGTGGATTGGAGTTAAATAGTATTTTCATAGTTTATAGCTTGATTGTTATCCAGGAGAATCAAAAATCAAGATTTATTTGATGAATGACTAAAATTAACTAAGAATCTAAAGCTATTGACTAACAAAAATCGAAATAAGGAATAAGCAAAGAAAGTTATCAGTGGGAAAATATAAGGTTTTAATAAGATAGGTGCAAGATAATTGTTTGGGATATAACTCTAGATAATTCACTTTTAATGTTCAAGTGAGTCTCTTGAATTCACTCAATTATTAGTTCAAACGTTCAACAAAAAACTCCTCTCTCGATTAAGCTTTAGTCTCACAAGATGAACTAATTTAAACACGTGAAGATATGCAAGAATGGATAGTGGATTGGTCTTTAGGAAAACCTCTTTCGACTATCCTCCTAACTAGGTTTAATCAATAATTCAACTAGCCTCTTTTGATTATAATAAGAATTAATGAACTCAACCAAAAAGATAATGCAAAGATATCACAAGTTATGCCTCTCTCTGTTACATGAACTAGTGAATATAGATGCAACAATTAAATCATCCAAAAATGCTTCAATACATAAAACTAGAGTTATAATCCACTAACAAATATCAATATACCATATCCATCAAACCCTAAAGGGAACTACTCCATAGATATGGAGCAATTCATCACAAATATGTTTAAAGTAAATAAAAACATAAAACGATCCAAACTCGGTTCTTGAGTGAGGATTGAATGATAAACTCCTTGTGCTTTTGCTTCTCCAACTCCTCTTTAGCCTCCTTAGGTCTCCAATATGACAAAAGTACAAAAAATAATATTTTTCCATGTATTTATATCAAGTAGGGTCGGGGCTAGACGAAATCACCTTCTCCTAGCCGAAATAGGAAAATTACACTATAAGAATTGCACAGGCGCGTTGCATGGGGCGACGCATCATGTGGGGAATTAGTGGGGCAATTCAGAGAGTTGTTTCTGACAGGTAGTACAAAATTGTACACGCACGGCGCCCCACTCGCCGCGACATTGGGGTTTTCTAAGAGTACGAATTTTTTCGTGCGTTTTGACATCCAGACTTGGTCCTCGACCCCCGAACATGATCCCGACTTAATTCCTTGGGCTTTTATTCAGACTTCAAAGCTTCAAATAGCTCGAATTCATTCCGTAACATATACATAACTCGAAACCATGCCTACAAGGCATAAAACACACAATAAGTACAAAATACTAGCGATTAAAGCTCAAGCACAATAAAAGTACAGTAAATTAAAGTGCAATAAGCGACTAAAATACGAGATTATAGCCTACCATCAAAACCATACCCATAAGCCGGTCCGGTTACCGATAAAATAAATCGAAAAAGGAACGCAATGATAAGAAACCGAAATCGAGGTAAGGGACTCATCGAGTCAGGCACCGGGGGCACGATGCCCGCCATCGAGTATATCAAGGCCATGACCCCGGGATCGGTCCAAATCCCAAAAAACTTCGGAGAGAATTATTGGGAAATCGAACACGATTAACGGAAGGTTGTAATATCCATGACCAACCGGGTATCACAACGCGTATCTCGGCATGTACCGACGGGAATGAGTAATTAGTTAAACGGGAGATTTTTATCTTTTATAGAATTGTACCTAGAGTGGGATTCCCCTACTATATAAGGGGGAGGGGGGTCTAATTATTCAATGAACACATTGTAACACGCATCCAAAAGCAATATACTATTATTTTTCTATAATTCATAGCTCTTACGTTGTTGATCTGTGTTTCATTATTATACGCCCGTGATCGAAGACGAATACCTCGTTGAGGATGCCCTCGAGTCCAGAATCATCCACCCTTATTTTCAAGCAGTTTGATAATATATTACAGTGATACCTCTCTATAACATCATCCCCATATAACAACACTTCACTATAAAAGCCAAGTTTTTCAGAAACTAATTTTTATATTATGTTATAATATGTGTTCTCTAGAACAGTATTTCGCTATAACATCCAAAAATATTCGGAACAAATGAGGCTGTTATAGAGAGGTTTGACTGTATATCTCTTGCTTCTTTATTCTAGAAATCTTTACCGTTTGTATTGAATAAATTCACGTATCCTTAAAATCACTTACAAATTTAATTGTTATCCGTTTTATAGGGTAAACAATAATCAAATTGATTTAAATAAAAGTCCAATAAAATTGGGCTAGTCCATTCTTCCATCAAATGGATCGGCCCATAAGCCTCAAGCCTAATGGCGTACTATGGTCTACTCTACCCCACATCTATAAAGGGGGTCATAGGGTAAGAAAAAGAGGGACAAGCAAGTAAGCAGACAGAAAGGCTAAAGAAACTCTGAAAAATAGCATCAAGGTCTCCCTCCACATCTGCAATCTTCGTCTGTGGTCAAATCCAAAGGCGAGCTGAAATCATAGGGGGCGGCTTCAAATCTTCCGTTCGTGATAACCAACACCAAATCCTGGTTCGTGACGCACCACAAATCTGAAATTCCTCAAGTTCAAGATTAAGTTCTCAAGCTCTTGAACCATCGTTCGTGAGGAGAAGAATCAGAGGACTACATCTCTTTAGATTTGAGATATTTTAGAAATTGTAACCTTATCACTTTGAAATCGAATATAGTATTTGTCACTATATTTCTTGTGTCGATTGTAATTTTTGAGGAACCAAAATTGGTTGTTACATAGGTATCAAGATCCGACTTCCTATAAATTATAATGATTGCTTTGCAATAATATATTACTTTTGTACAGTAGTCGGTACTTGAATATGCGCATTACTATTGCAACTCTTTTTTTTTAGTTTTGGAAAAATAGAAGAAAAAGAATCAGCACTACAATAATTTCCTCACAAGAGCATCTCGAGTGCACCCACAAATGGATTTATATTTCAAAGAAAAAGAAAATCACAAGAAATATTAGTCTCGCTGAAAATCCTTACAGCTGTCCTTTTGTTTTTTGGGTTAAGTTTTGTTTTATTCCACCGTATCAGAAAGATGATTCTCCTGAAAGTAGCACACAAATGAGCATGCTTATTACTTATAATTAGTACTCTTTTAAAAGACCAAAATGGTTGCGCCTTTGAGGAAAGTTTCTAGCCTTAGATTAGGACAATTTACTTTCCCTCCGTGCGCACCCTGCAGTAGTAATGTAATATCTACCTGCCTAAAGCTGAAACCATGTTTGAAGGTCAAGATTCAATTTGTGATACCTGCTTTTGTACATCACTTATTTGACAACTGTTTTTGCCGTAATTAATTTGCCTTGGCGATTAAGATATTTATACTTCAATAAAATTGTTCTGTTTCTCTCTTTGATTCAGGAGGGGAAGCCGAAAATTTGCCTACAGCAGCTGCCAAAGGTTACTAGCTAGATTGAGAAACAACAAAATCTAACCGAAGGCTAATAGATCATCAGTAATATATTCTGTTCCTTTTGTTTATCACCAGCAGTTAATTACTTCAATTTTCTGGTGAATGCTTAGTATACTGATAAATTATATTGTTTGTAAACTACCATTAAACTTGCTAGGTTTAGAGGTGCGTTTCTCGAAGATAGTTGGAGATTCTTCTGAGAGCAAATGAATAATAGTTTAATAACATCACTTGTTGAAGATTCAAGCTTGTTATGCAGGTGGTGTAACAAAAGAAGGCAGAACAGGCAGGAAATTAAAGGTAAAACAGGAAACTCAAGTGTTCAAAGAAAAAAAACCAAAAAAGATCGGGCTGGAAGATTGACATAGACAATCTTATTTGCTTGTGAGAGCAAATGTACACTTGTGATGGATATTATTTGCTTTTTCTTTTCACTTGTGAGAATTACTGCTGAATTTAAATGCTTCTTGGTTGAGTTTAACCAAGTACCACACTTGATCAACCTCTCTTTATTTTTAATGTTCAATGTAAAACTTCTTACTAAAATAATGCTAACTTGTCCAAGCAAGAAACTAGTTATATTTTTCAGAACCTAGTATTGTTTGGCTCTAAATTTTCTAACGGATGCCCAGCTTTTCCTTGAGGTACCATTCCTCTGCTCTATATCATGCATCCAATTCTGCTGAACAGTTGCGCAATTCTGATTGATGCTTAGAGATATGAGCTGGAAATTAGCAGGAGAATCAGCATTGGAAAAGGAAGGAGAATGTAGGAAGATGAAGCCACCCCTGCAAACTTTCCCCTTCTACTCACTTCAATAGCCGGAACTGTTGATGCTTCATTTGGTCTCTTTACCCTGTTTCAAATCAAACTCACTATTACTGTAAAACAAGGCGGAAAATAATACTTACATAACATGAGAATAGTTATTTGTCATTGATAACATTATAAAAGTTTTTATGAGATATTACGTACCCATTCATGGGACAAAAGATGATTGCATAGTCATAAGCCTTGCAGGTGAAAGTGCTAGTGCCATCATCAAATGCGTAGCTATAAGCCCTGGGACAAGCATTCTTAAAGATGCTCGAATAGAAAGATGGCCGGCAAGTTGTTGGATTTGCAAACTGTCCTGCACAGCAATACTGGTCTAAACCAAACGCCTCACATGCACTCTTGCAACCGATCACATTCCCTTCTCCATCGCCACCCACCACCTGAAGTTCTTTTGGACAACCTGTTCCATTTTACAAATGGATTGTTATTTCTTAATTATGTGTAAATGCTTCTAAGATAACTCAATCTTGTAACACTTTATTCCTAAAATAGTTAGGCTCAATTATAGAATATGATTCAGATAGCCGAGTTACTGTATTTCTGGTTGTGAACTAGGGTCAAATGGGCAGGATGAGCTAAGTCTCACGGAGTTAAAACGGATTGAATCAATTAACAAATTCAGGATGAGCCTGCAAAAAATTTACTTTGGATCAAGATGTACGGGTCAATTTGGACTAAATAATGAGACATTATTCAACCCATCCAACTCAAAATCATTTTTTATTTGTTTAGTTGTTCTTTATACTTTGTTTAATCACCAAATCAAAATAATACTAGCCTTTTTTCTTTTCTTTTTTTTAATTATCATGAGTTAAATACTATTTTTCTGTGTTTGCATAAGTTTTCTTATGTGTTAATTTGCGCGACACAAGTTCCCAAATTGGCCCAAGCTTTAAGATAGACTAACGTGGGTTATGCCTGAATTGACCTGCTAACGAATATATGCCTAGTCTAACTCGCCCAAATTAGGACAGTTGGTCGGATTATATTTCCGTAGGCTAATTTGGCATTTGCTGCGAACATACTGCAACTCTTATCTTTTAAACCAACTTGAGACTAGTATCCTCTGTGACATAGGCAGAGTCCTTAAACTAATTCAAGCATCAGCTAATTCGAGAACATACCCATGTTAAGATTTGACAGACAACCAGTGGCATTGCATCCTCCATTGATTCCTTCGGGCAGTGCAACCATTGGCAGATTGTATCCGTCCACGATGCTCACATCATAGAAGTCTTTGTTGTCTCCAACGCCCAGAGTTATCTCAAAGAGGGAGGCAGGTGGCGTGGCGCCAAGACCGCTACACTCGAGCTTTCCACCACAATCACCTGTTTGACATGAACCAATTCCTGATGCATCAAAAGTGCAGCCAGTTCTTGCCCAAATTCGACCTGACCAACCTGGTACACTTGGAATTGTGATGTTTTGGCCAGCATCTAATCGAAAGCCAGTCGCGGGAAGTGGAGGAGTTCCCGCGCCAGACAGTGTACCAGGCCATATTGTAAAAGGGCAGTTGTTAGAAATGGTGAAAGTGTAAGCAAAAGTGTAGGAAAAGAAGGTGCACAAAAGCAATGAAATTGAGAGCTCTTTCCAGGGAGCTTTGCTCGCGAGCATATTATTATGGCCTTTTTTAGTGTTTTGCTATATATGTTCTGTCCTTGTGGGGAATAGAATAGGGGCAGGAGGAGGGTCCAGTATAGGAAAATGAATCATTGTACCATATTTGTAACTCGAAGGATTCAAGGCAAAAGGAATTTGAACATATTGGATGCAAAATCCAAAGTCTGAAGTTGCTTTGCAAAATTTATCAGCCGCAAGATCACTCTTTAGGGTTTAGCATTTCTTTCATTTTGGATGGCCTCGATAAGAAGCAATTCCTTTCTTCGGAAACTTTGAGGATGCATTTGTCTATGGAAACAAATGTTAAGAAGAGAAAGAGAGAGAAAGTCAACATATAGAATCATAGTATTGCCCCAAATCCCAATAACATATACTTCAAGTATCTTGGAAGTGAATCAATTTCGTAGTTGTAAAAAGGTACGACCATATGAAAAAGGCTACCTAGATTCACCCGAAATAAACCGACAACGTTAAACGACAATTTAAGTAAGCAACTAGTATAATAAAATCTTGGCTTTGTGCCAATTAATGGAATAGATAATAGCTCGTCTTCTAATTTCAGCGTGGAGCAAAGAGGAAATTCATATGTTTAAATTCATAAGTTTCAAAAATCGTTTTCCTTTCATAAATATCGTGGGTGTCAAACTATGAAGGATATGCAATTGTACCCTATATTTGTGACACTTTTTAACCTGTATCCTATTTTTAAAAATTATTGATTTGGTAGCCAGCTCACTAAAAATTTGTAATAATATGATAATTATACCCCTGACAAAAGATATAAAATATGCATCACGCATTAAATCGTGTGATCTCCTCCATCACTCCGTCTCTCCTCAAAAGATCTCCTTCAATCCTGGTCGAAGATCTCCTCTACTCTCAGCAACTTTATCCAAAAACCAGAAACTTAAACCAGATTCATCTTCAGAATTCAAAACTACAAAATGCATTGTAAGTATTGCAATTCATCTTCACAATTCGCATTAGTTTGTGAAACTGATTGAACTTCATCATATATATTTCTGCAATTATTTTGATAATTCGTCATGTTTTTTAAGTTTTGAACTTAAAAAAAAATCTAAATTCAATTAACGCCTATAGATATTTTCACTTATGCTCATTTACAAATCACACTTGCATGAAATTGTTTGACAGACATAGCATGAAGTTTTCACTTATAGATCTTCAAAAACTTTTCAAAACTTCAAATTTAATGCGTGAGGCATATAGAATAAAGTTGTTTCATGTTGAAGTCTGAAATTTTAATCAAATACAAGCTAAAACTTCATGCTAATGTAGCATGAAATTGTTTCACGTTGAAGCTAAAATTTTATGCTAATATAGCATGAAGTTGTTTCACATTGAAGCTAAAACTTCATGCTAATGTAGCATGAAATTGTTTCACGTTGAAGCTAAAATTTTATGCTAATATAGCATGAAGTTGTTTCACATTGAAGCTAAAACTTCATGCTAATGTAGCATGAAATTGTTTCACGTTGAAGCTAAAATTTTATGCTAATATAGCATGAAGTTGTTTCACATTGAAGCTAAAACTTCATGCTAATGCATGATGAAGTTATTTAGTTCATTTGCTAAAACTTCATACCAAAATATGCTGAAGTTTTGTCCTGCAGTCTACAGTTTTGTCAAGAGTTTTTTCCGAAACATCAGTCTAAATATGCTGAAGTTTTTTAGTTCATTTGCTAAAACTTTAAACTAAACATGCTTAAGTTTTTATTCTCTACAGTATGTAATTTTCTAATGAGTTTTTGCTAATGCATGCAAGTTATTTAGTTCATTTTCTAAAACTTCATACCAAAACATGCTGAAATTTTGTCCTGCAGTCTATAGTTTTGTCATGAGTTTTTTCCGAAATTTCAGTCTAAACATGCTGATATTTTTTAGTTCATTTGCTAAAATTTCAGACTAAATATGCTTAAGTTTTTGTTGTGCAGTATGTAATTTTCTAATGAGTTTTTGCTAATGCATGTTGAAGTCATTTAGTTCATTTGCTAAAATTTCATACCAAAATATGCTTAAGTTTTGTCATGCAGTCCATAGTTTTTTCATGAGTTTTTTTCGAAACTTCAATCTAAACATGCTGAAGTTTTTTTAGTTCATTTGCTAAACCTTCAGACTAAACATGCTTAAGTTTTTGTCCTGCAGTATGTAATTGTCTAATGAGTTTTTGCTAAACTTCATACTTATACATGCTAAAAAAATTTTGTTCATTTCCTAACACTTCACACTAAACATGCTGAAATTTCCATACTGCATGATGAGCTATATTTTCCTTGTTATTACTTTCAATGGAGAAGGACTTTTGATTACAACTACTTGAATCATGATAAAAAAACTTGTTCTGGTTAATAAACAAGTATCATTCAACACTTACCTCAAGAAAATTAGTGAAGTCATAGATTTTGATTCAACCAAATATGCACTAAAAATATGGTTTGATATGAAACTAAATACAAGTAAAGGGATGCTTGTAACTTCAGATGAAGAACTCAGAACCTGTATACATTTGCTAACAACTGATTCAGCTTTCAACAATTGCCATTTTATCGCCGAAAAAATACAACTACTTTCTGACAATATAGCTGCTTTAGAATATGCAACATTCAAACCATCTCTTGCACATACAATAGATTTAGAACAACTTGATGATCATCAACATGAAGTAGAACAACCAATAAGGAAGTAGACAACGAACGACACCCTTATAACATTACAACTGATTCTAAATATGGAACGCTGCAAGAATTACCTGCCGCTATAATAAATTCGACCAGTTTGGTGAGGCCCAACAAGAAGAAGGACAGCTAATAATGTAAATAGACAACCAACACACAATCCAACAAAGTTTTTTTTATCTCCTACAATGATAGGCAACAACCAAGATCAAGAAAATACAGAAATTATACCGATAACATCACATACAATTGAAGAAATTACTGAAATTTCTACTACTTCTAAGAAATCAAGAAAAATAGTGAGGAGAAAGCTGAAAGAATCTCCACCATGTAAAATACTTAGGCACGATGCATTGCCTGAGAAAATAAAAGTAGGATAATTTTTTGAGAACAAGATGAGCATGACTAAATTTTTCTACAGCTTGGAGATAAATCAAAAAAGTTGAATTCACTGCTGTTAGATCATGTTCAAAGAGATACGAGCTGAAATGCATCGTGGAGAAATGTGGTTGGAATGTATGTGCTACCAGAATAAAAAATTTCACACTTTTCAGGGTGATAAAATTTTATAACAACCATGAATGCTCAGTTGATGCAATAAAATCATATCAGAAGTATGCTACATCAAATTTTATAATTGAACAAATTTTAGAACATGTTCGGGATAAAACAATTGAGGTTACACCAGCCTTTATAGAAAGTGAAATAAAAATAAAATTTAGAATTGACATTGGATATCGTAAGGCATGGAGCGCTATTCAAAAAGCTATTTCTTGTATAAGAGGAACACCAGAAGAGAACTACCATATTCTTCCTTCATACCTACACATGATGGTGCATAGAAACGCTTGGACATACACTAGCATAAAAAAAGATCAGCAGAATCGGTAAGCAAAGAAAAATAACCATCAGTCTGAAGTTTCAACTGTTCCTATTTGAAAACTTCACACCTTATGATGTGTTTTTTTGTGTTTCACCTATATAGGTTCGCTTACATGTTCTCTGCTCCTACAACATCAATAGTTGGTTGGCTGTAACGACTCGATCGGTCGTTTTGTGTAATTGCGCCCCGTTATCCCTTTTATTGCTTCACATATGTGAGTTTATGCTTTTATGACTTGCGGGGTTGATTAGTTTCATTCCGGGAAGCTTTCGGGTTGATTTGGACCCTTGATTCTAGACTTAGAAGCTTTAATTTGAAAATATTGACCAAACTTTGACTTTTGTGAAAACGACCCCGAAATTATATTTTTATGCCTCTGATAGCTTCGTATCGTAATTTCGAACTTGGGTGTAATCCTAAAATTGGTTTTGGAAGTCCGTATGTTGATTTGTGTTGATTTGCCAAAATTTGCCAATTTTAAGTTGAAAAGTTTGACCATAGGTTGACTTTTAACTATTGAGCTCGGAATTTTATTTTGGAACTTGGAATAGATCCGTTATGGAATTTAGAATTGGCATCATTCGGAGTTGAATTAATAGGAATCAGATGCATAGTTGTAATTTTAGAAGTTCTTTAAATTCTCTTTGAAAATCATGAGTTTCTTAGCTCAATTCGTAGTTTTAGATATTATTTTTATGTTTTGATTGTGCGAGAGAGTTTGTATGATTTTTTAGACTTGTGTGGATGTTTGGTTTGGAGCCCCGAGGGATCGGGTGAGTTTCGAACGCTTAGCGTAGTGTTGTTGGAATTTTTAAGTTGCTGGTTTCTGCACAGGCCTCAGATCTCGCAATTGCGAGGTCTGAGTTCGCATTTGCGAAGGTTGGCCATGTATGCTGGGTTCGCATTTGTGAATCCAGTGTTCGCATTTGCGAAGTGCACCCGGGGAGAGCTTCTTCGCATTTGCGAAGTGCATCTGGGGAGAGCTTCTTCGCATTTGCGATCATCATGGTCGCATTTACGGAGGGTCCATTATTCGCAATCGCGAAATATTCATCGTAATTGCGATGACATCAGAGATGTAAGGACTTCGAATTTGCGAGTGGTTCTTCGCATTTGCAGGGTTCGCAATTGCGAACCCCAGGTCGCAAATGCGACATCTAGGACTGGACAAATAGCCGAGGGACGGGATTTTTGAGTTCATTCTCTCATTTTTGGACCCTAGACTCGGTATTAGACAATTTGGAGAGGGGATTTTCATCAACAAACCTTGGGTAGGCGATTCTAATCTATTTCTTATCATATTTTATCAACATATCTTAGATTTTATAATCAAAATCATGTGAATCAAAGTAGAAATTTATGAAACTTTGTCAAGATTTTAAAAAATAAGAAATTGAGTTTTCAGAGTCGATTTGGATTCGGATTTTGAAACTAATCATATATATGAACTCGTGGAGTCATGGATAGACGGAATCTACAATCGAACCCGGGTTTTGACCGGGCATACCCCGGGTTGACTTTTGTTGACTTTTTGGGAAAATTATAAAAAAAATTAACTTTATCTATTACAATTGAATTCCCTAGCATTGTTTGATGATATTGAGTCGATTTTGGTTAGATTTAAGTCGTGTAGAGGCAGATTTTAAGGGAAAAGTTATTTCTAAGTATTGAATTGGCCTAATTGAGGTAAGTGTCTTGCCTAACTTCGCATGGGGGAACTACCCCTTAGGATTGGTAGTGTTTGATT